CAACTACAGACTGGTCAGTGCACAAATCATCGTAAAAGGCTACTAGGTTATGTTGGGTATGACTAAACTCAATCAAAATCATTCAGGCTTGAATTGAAGTTCTGGCAAGGTTCAGCATAGGTAACCAACTATGACATACTACCTACATACTGTATTACATATTACTTTTTTTTTTTTTTTTTTTTTTTTTCGGAAAGGCTGAGCCTTCAGTATTGAATGATTTTCTTTGCTAAAATGAACTCAGTATGACAAACAGTCCCCCATTGTATGTGCATATATATATATTTCTGATTGTGCATGAGGGGGTCAAATTACAGGGCTGTATCTAGTAAGTCTGTCCTATTTGCTGCAATGTATTATGTTCACATTGCAGATTAAGATAGGTTTTGATTTCATAGACTATGAAAAAAAAAAAAAGATTTTGTAAACATGTTTAAGGACAATTAAGGGAGGAAGGGTAAGGTTTTTCCCCCATTTACTCAGAATTCTATGATAAAGGCTTATTCAGAAGTCAAGGCTTTAGAGTTAAAGGATAACAGAGATTTTAGCTTTCTAGAATTTATTCAAACTAATGATGCAATGTCTGCCCATCTGAGAGTAGTTTTTCATCTACTTAGATACTGTTGAGAAACTTGGACTCAAATACTGGGAGACACTGCAATTTATTCAGCTTATACTCGAAACAATAGCTAGAAACTAGTAGTTAGCAATAGTAGTAATTAATAATACAATACTAGTTATACCTATTCTAACCTAAGATATCAGCTTCTTTGAGCAGCAGTTAAATCCACTTTCTTCCTCCTTGTCTCTTTTTGGTGTTCCAATATTTATATGCCACTTTTTCCTCCTCACACTTTTGGAAGATACTTGGTACAGTTTTTAGGAACTTTTAACTTTAAATATATTTCTTTACTTACTTTCTCTAGAATTAAACTCTTTGTTTGCTATGACAAACCCAACAATTAATGCAAGTTGTACCTGTTCTGTACAATCCAAGCCCACTCTTAAACATGAACTACTCCTTAACTGTTGACTTTGTTAGAAAATGGTAACATTACTAAAGTTCACTAGCAAAGATGTAGTCCCAACAGTGTTTCCCACAGACTTCAAAAGACAGGACCAGGAAAAAAAAAATAAATAAATAAAAATAACTGCACTCTCTATTCTGAGAAATGATCTTCTCATATAATGCCCCAAACTTACCTTCTCCAGCAAATATATTTATAGTCACTGGTCTTGTTTGTATCATTTAATTCTTTTAAGTAATTACCAAAAATGTATTTATTTTTCTTATTTTTGGGGGGGAAGTACACCTAAGAAAGATCTCAGTCAGCACTCAGTGAAGTACTGGATCTATTTTCACCATGCCTTTTAACAAAGTCAACTTAAAAAAAATAATAAAAAGTAGAAAATTAAAATTAAGTCTGTATCACTAATATTTTTGCTAGAGGTTGCTAATGAAAATTTCATAAAACCAGCTGTTAATATCATAGCTGTTTTCCAAGCCAGATGCTGAACTTCGCCTTCTGAAAGCCTTCTGCTATTCTTCTTCTCTGTCATGAGCCTCAACACGTATCTTCAGCTTCTTTAACACACTTCTCTCACAGTTCCATTGCAGCTATACATTTCTATCCTAACTCTTCCTCCTTCCACCATGAAGTCAACAGCCTCCTTCCAAAACAGATTGTTTTTAATCTGGAATTAACTCTGTACTTTTTGAACTCATTTTTGGGGGTACAATTCCTGCATTTGCTGTATCTGCAAACTTCTACCTCCTGCAATCTCTTTGGACAGCTTAAATACACACAGTGATTCTGCAAGCACTCAGGTTAGAAGCGTAAAGAAATTTATTGGTTATAATACAGAAATAACAGCTACTAGATGAAGTATTAAAATGCTCATCACCTCTTTCAAGAGGCACAACAAGTCACTGCTAGCCAAACAAACAATCCTGAGAAGGGACATGTCTTGTAGCTCCCCAGAGCACAGCTTCTGTTTTGCCTGCTATCTTCTGACACTGTCTTTTCTTTACGATTTTATACTTGCTCATATCAGCAATTTTCCTCATCTTAAATGTATCAAAATTTAGCTCTTTTATCTCATAATAATCTACAGACTTTCTAACGATTTCTTTTTCGCCACTTAGCAGTTTCCGTCTGAGATGTGTATGTGGTATCAGCAACAGGCCTTAGAGCACAGACAACTGAACAGATTTTAAGAGAGGGAGTTCCATTCCTTTTTAGCATCTACTGATGACTGTTATAGTGGATATAAGGAAATGGATTGGCTATGGCTGGCTACCATTAAAACCCACAGATTGCCCAAATCTAATGTCCTATGTGCTCATGCTTAGCCTGTAAAAAACACTTACTCTTTTCCTTATGAGTTCTTCAGATATTAATGTGCTGTAATAAATCATTGCATTTTCTTGAAGTTTTCAATCCATATATCATCATTTGGATCTAGGACAGTTTGAATTAATGTTGCAAAGCACTGTATTAATTCTGTCAATGGCATCCATCCAAAACAAGAATCTTCCACGTTCTCCAGGAAAATTTACCATGCAGAGCTCACAGAATATAGACATTCAATAGAAGACATAGTTTTTAACTACATATATTTCTGAATAATACACGTAATATCTTTGTCAATAATAAGACTTCCAAGTTAAGCTTTACTCTCAATTGATTTTCTCTCTATATCTCCTCTTTTCCACATAGGACTCAATCTGTAAAGCAAGTAATTCAGTCTTGCTAGCAGAGACACATTATAGTAATCACACCACTAACCAGCTTACTCATGCTGACCAAAAATGTAACTAATATAAAATCGTATTTTCTAAATCTCCTTTTGCTGCTTTAGCGCAGCCTGGGAACTGATTTTAGACATACTTTTAAGTTGCAACTTAACTGTACTGGTGATCTAAAATACCTGTTCTAGAAAACACCGCATTTCAAAACCATTGAATTTTTTATATAACTCATGCCTTTATTCATTCCTTAAATGCCTTTTTTTTTTTTTTTTTCCGTCACATTTTAGTCTTAAGGCCAGAGTATCATAAAGAACAGCAAGCACTAAAGGAACGAAGACAGAAATATACACGTCATGCTATAAAATGCTGAATATGGACAAATTTACCTAAACACACAGCAGATAAACAAGACTGACACTCTAATGGTAAGGATCCGATCTACCTTAGGTACAGGAAATGGAAAAAGAAAGGATAGAGTTTAAATACAGAGCTGAAGAAGTCTTACACTTTGTTCTAAAAGGCCAAAAAAGATGCAAGTGACAGCTGCTACATTTCAAACACATCTCCCTAACCAATGTCCTTGACAATTCCTTGTTTTTCCTGTACTTGGAACTATCCCTGATTAAAGGTTTAATTCTCACCAACTCAGAAATCTAATAATCTTAATCTATATCACTAATTTTCCAGTAAATAAATAGATCAGACTCAGAACAGAAGGAAGAAGAGGCTAACGAATGTACTTAACATTAATCTATGTACTTCTGGACAGATGAGAATGACAAGGGTCCTCCTGCTATTTTAGTGACTTTTGTACTTGCCTAAACTGTCACCCAAAGTATCAATTCAGATGTAAACATTTTCTCCATACTAATGTCTGCTACAAATTAGAACCCTGTAGTTAATGAAAGATTCTTTTTCCACCAGTACGTCTTATCCAGCCTTCTCATCCACAAGCTCATCCTGTCAATATGGGGAAAAAGTACAGGATGAGAAAAAGAGAAGGCAGTAATTTCACCATAAGATGGTTTGGTTGTGTGTTAGACAAACCCAGGGCCCTCTTTTGCAACTATTTTTCATGTGGATTTGGGCTGCAAGTCAGTTGCTGTTGCTGCCACTTCCTCTTCCTGTCCATACAAAACATTTGCATCAAATTGTAGTTTAAGTAATTTCCCAAACCACCAAAACCATGTGCAACACCTTTTGTGAAGTATTAAAGGACTATTCCTCAACACACAGAAAATTCAAATAAAACAATGTTTTATGCACAATATCAGTATCTTCTATCAGTTACATTTATTTTGTCCATATTTTTGTATATATATATTTTACAAATCACCATTCATGTGAATATGCGAGATATTCACCTTTCCTCCCTGTGAAAATGGCACTCAGACATTTCCGTATTACTCCAATTAGGAGGATAATGTGGATTGTGCCTTTGATTAATTTCTCTCTCCCCTTCTTTAAAAGCTGTATTTTATAGATTGAGAACATGACTTATCACAGGAAATAAATAAATAAATAGATAAATAAATAACAAATTTTTCTGGGAGTCTGGGATCAGACTCCCAGAAAGCTCTGCCAAAGCTGTATTAACCAGGAAGATGCCAGCAGCACTTCCAGACACGTTTTCCAAACGCTGTCCCGCCGCCAGCACTGCCTTTATTCCTGGTGCCCAGCAGCAGAGCGCACACCGGCACCTCCCAACTCTGCGACGTGCGTTTGTTCGCATTTCTTGTGACCTAGATCACCTATATGCGTAATAAAAACTATTTTTTCCTTGTTATTTACGTCTTAAATATTACGTGCCGGTCGAAACTCTGCTAATTTATCTTTATTACAGGCTAGCACGTGCAATGCCGGGTTATGTTACAGCAGGGTCTCGCCTCTGTGTACGCACTTCGCGGGATGATTCCACATCCTGCAGACTTTTATTTCCTACTCCAGAAAAGCCACTTGTACCACCTCAAGCCTATGCCTGTGGGTGCGGCGCTGAGTTCAGAGCAATTAGTGGCACAGAGGCAGAATTAACACCCCCCCCCCCCCCCCAAACTGCGACACAGCCCCCACATCATGGCGGCTCCCCCAGCCGCGGGCTCCCCTTCCCCCCTACACCCCCCCCGCAGCCTCGCCGAGGTCTCGCGAGATTTGGTGCGGGGCGAGGCGGCGCGGCCGGCGCTGGGCGCCGCGGGCGAGGTGCGGCTGGGGCTGCCCGCGGCTCCCGCCGCCATCTTGGCTCCGCCGCAGGGCGCCGGGAGGGGCGGGGAGGGGAGAGGGCGGGTGCGTGCCTGTGTGTTTAAGGCTGCAGTGGAGAAGGAGGCGGCCCGCTGAAAAGGCCGCTTGGCTTTCTGGCTCGAGTGTAAAAGATTCCGTGGCTTCCCTTAACGTCGCGATCGCTGATATTGTTGGTTGGCTTGCTGTAGGTGTTACAAGGGAAGAGTGCGTCTGGCAGTTTGAGCTCTGTGTCGCTTGTTGATGTTTACTGGGCGTGGGGGGAGGGAGGAATACTCACATTGCTTTGTAAGCCGCAGTTTACGGCCCACCAGATGAAGTGGAAAACCTGAAGCTCACCTGAGTGGGTTTAAATTTGGAGTTGAGACCCTGCCCCCCCCCAGAACAGCAAAGTTCGTCTTGCACTGGTGATGAAGGCAAGAGCTTGTTTAAGCAAGTGCATTTCTGTTTTTGCAGTTTGGGTCTTGCTGGGTATAAACCAAACTTATAGCTTGATCTGTGTGTAACCCCTGTGAGACCCTTGCACCTCAGAAAAGCACCAGGTTTACCTGGTACTGACCAGCAAGCCCAAGTCTTACTTACCAGGCTCCAGCATCACCGCTTTGGTTTTGCAGGCAGTTGGCTTAAGTGGCTGGAACAGCCCTTGCAAATTTTTCAGCAGGGACAGAAGGAACAACCTGGTCATATTGTTAATTATAAGGGAGACTTTGTTTGTTTGGTCTCTGCATTATTATCAACGGTAGTTCTTCCTGTTCTTGAAATGAACAACTCAGTTTATGGTTGGTGCTCAATAGCACAGTGCCAGATGGGTGCTGGAGAGAGAGAGAGAAGTAGCTACTGAAAAGTTCTGCCTGAAACTGTTACATTTTCTACAAATCAACTGTTAACACATCTATGTTTTGGGTTGCAGTCCCTTGAAAGCTAAATGTGAGGGGGCTGTGAAGGGAGCCTTGTTACAGGGTCAGGGCATTGGTGTGCAGCTATCTTTCAGCTACTTCATGTTTTGTTTTTGTTTTCTGATGTTTTTAAACAGGTTATGTTTAGAAGAGAGAAAGTTTCTACTGCATAATTGTCGTGTCCAAGAGGTCATCTGTTGATATTCCCTATGTAGCTCCATGGTAAAACAGCTTCTGAGAGTGTCATCATCTGGATCTAGAGGTTACTTTTAAGAAAATGTGGACTGTTAGAAGTCTCTGTACTGCTCAAATACAGTTATGTCAGTTTAAAGAAGGCAGACTGTGTAGTTGTATATTTCCACAAACCCAGCAGTTCTGGATTGGATTTCTAAATTACTGCACCATAACAGCACCACATGAGAGACTTAAATGCCAGGTAAGTATTTATTATTTATTTTTGTGGTGTTCTAGTGATATGCAACAATACAGTGATGGTGCATCACTTCTTTTAGAACCTACAGGCCTAAATGTTTATCATAGGTATCTTTTGATGCATATGGAAAAAAATCCTTATGAATTGAAGATGCCTTTTATAAATAAAGATTAAGGGCCAGGCAGCAAGAAGTTGCAGGAGAACCGGTGTTGTAGAATGAACTTTTTTGTATCTTGTAACTCTGAGCTGGGGAGAAACATTGATTTGTTTCAAGTTATGCTCCAGACAATACTGAACCATAGCTGACAGCCTTACTAGTTAGTGAAAAACCCTTTATTGAAGAATAGGACCAGAATTCTCCAGAAAACTATCTTTACTAATACAGTATTGCACAGGGGGAAAAAAACAAGTCTGTGTTTACTGGATTGATAAAATACAAATAAGAATTTTATTATTAAATATATAGATTTTAACAAACTCTGTGGGAAAGGACACAAAATTAAGGTTAATCTCAGAGACTTGACTGTTCTAAGTTGTAATGCTTCTCTTTATCTAGATGTCTAATTAAGTTTATCTTTAAAATATAAATTGCTGCACATAGTTTATTTATAATAGATTATGGTTTCAACTAGTTAAATGAGGGCTAAGCAGTTACGAGAAATTCTTCCGGATGGCTTTATGGGCTTTATGACTATTTTGATAGATTTTAAAATCTATTTGAACATAATTCTTTTATTTTTATATATATATACACACACACATATATATATACACACACACCTGTTCTTTCTGTTTTAAATAGTAATATTTTATTGTAACATTGTAGGTTTCTGAGATAAATGATAAAACATCAGTAATAGATACAACAGTTGCTGTTAGTGCAGAAGGAACTAAAGCAGATGCAGGAAAGAGTCCCAGTGGAGAATGTGATGGAAAACAACGTGCATTAGAAGGTATTAAAACTTTTCCCACCATCTTAAGAAGCTAGCTTTTCCCGTCTTTTCTGTATATCTTGTCTTAATGATCAAGATGGTCTAAATTATTAGTTTGAAAGTTTGACATCATGTGTTTTACTTATTTTTCTAGTTTTAAGGAGAACATTTGGTTTTTTATGTCTTGCAAAGACTCATGTAATTTTCCTAAGAGTATTAATGTCTGATTGGATCATACACTGATTTTTTAAATTATTGCAACTTTTTCCTTCAACTTCATGAAATTGTAAAATGCTTATTCATTGTGACTGGATATATGCAAAATTTAGTTTTATCTATTCTAGCAACTGTGGTGACCCTTAATTAGTGTACAGTCTGTTGGATGGGTTATCATGTTGTGTGAGCCTGTTTTTGATGGGAATATCAATTCCTTGAATATACTGAAGGCTATGAATAGTGTGTGGTGACAATGAACTTTTTTCCCTTCTTTAAACATGAAAAACGGTTGAACATTCCTTTGTGAGTGATGATTTTTGGTTTGGGTAAATTTAATACTTAATATTTATTTTTTAATAATATTTAATAAATTTAATGTCTTTATAGTAACAAACATGGCTTTTATTTTAGCCACGCTGCTCACCTAACTAGTTCTTCCATACCTTTGTTTTCTCATTCCTAGCTCATAAATAATTTTCAAATGTCCTGCTATGTGTCATCCATTATATCTCAAACTACTTCAAGGTATTTTTTAGCTGCTGTGCTTCAGGGTGCTTGGTCATTCTCATTCTGTGTATATTTAATTTTTATTTGTAAAAGGTTCCAGTCAGTTGCTGTAGGCATTTCCAGCTCTTGTTTAGAAATGGGATGTTAGGGAGGTAGTTACGACTGGTTAAGGCATTGAGATCATATAGTGTTTATATAATTACATTTCTCAGGGAACATCAGTATGAGAAATTGTTGTGCCATTTCTTGATCCTGACAACTACAAAAAGAGTACCCTGAAAAAGCTATATTGTAATACAAGGTAATTCTGCAGTACAAGCTTGTCCCTTTATACATACACTTTCTTGTCAGATTGCATTAGAAATGGTTGAGATATGACTGAGTATAAAGTATTCCCCATCAAATACATTTTTAATTGCCAATGAGTTTGTTTTGCAGATATGAGAACCTTTTAAATAGAATTCCTAAGGTTATGTTTATTCCTGAATGTTTTTGTATTATCTTTAAAGTAGGGAGATGGAACAGCTCCAGTGTCCTTCTAGTTTCTCGTACTTATCTTCTCTTAAATTTTTATTTTTCTTGTAGGCAACAGAACCATACCTATCCCTTTGTCTCATTGACATATTTTGAAATTGCCAGTCATGTAAGATGACTGTGTTTTTTAAAAGCAGCGGCAGGCAAACGCATTTGATATGTCCTGTTTAAGTCAGATCTCTACAGTGTATATACTGTCCAGAGTTCTGCTGAAATGTGTTTGTGCATCTTGTAAGGGGCATTTAATTTTTTTTTCTGAAGACATGCCAGTATGATAATTTTTGAGGTAATAAATAATATCTTTAAGAACTTCTGTTAAACCCTCAAATAATATTTATTCTGAAGTCTTGTGGAACAGGTGTTTTGTACCGTTTCTAAGATAGCAAGGCTTCTGCTGTTTGCTCACTCAGCTGAAAAAAAAAAAAAAAAAAAAAGGCTTATGCCCAGATGTGACTGTGCTCCTCTTTCTGGTGTTCTCTTAGAAACTGTCAGGGAATAACTATACTCTACACTTGATTACTTTTCTCTGTATGTCCTCTTGAAAATTGTTATAACCCTACTATTCTTTCTGATCAAAAGAACAGTGATCTACCCGATCATCAAAGCAAAAGATTTTTTTGAACCAAACTGTCTCTGAAATACACGATTCTAACTTGCTAAAGTGCTGCTATGACAAATTTACAAGAATCAAAAGAAATGAGACAGTTTATATTCTTATAAAAGTGAGTATATTGGTTTCCTTTTTCTGATTTTATAGGGCACTCACCTAATGCTGTCTCATCTTTTCCTCTTATTCAGGGTATACTTTGCAAGGTGAAACAACGTTGCTTAACTGCATCTGTCAGGCAGATAGCCTGTGAAAGAACCATGTTTTTTTTATTCATCTGTATCATATTTGCAGCTTAACTGCTTTGTTACAGGTTTCTTCTTACAGTTTGGTTTGTTTGTTTGTATGTATGTGTTCTTTTTTTTTTTTTTTGTGGTAGGATTTTTTTAAGAGGCCCTCAATTCAGTGTTCAAACCTTTCTGCAAGTAGATGCCTACTGCTGAATAAGATTTTTTCTTCTGCTATTTCTCCTCTGTAATTCAGATTATTTGTAATATTATTTGTAATGATTTTTTTTCCTTGTTAAAAGGTTGAAAGGTTTTCTCAGTCGTGCAGCTAGCTTTTAACAACTGGATCTGCCTCTTGAACCTGAGTGTAATCTGCCAACTAATGTTTGTCCTGAAGTATTTTTAAATTTCATGTATATGAAACAATACATAATGTGGACCTGGAAACTGACCCAAATTAATAAAAACACAGTGCTGTGATAACTGCAGCAGTGCTGTTGCTAGCTTTGATTTGAAATCTTCTTGGGGAATTTCTAAAGCATTGTTGTAATGTTAGACATACAAACCCAGTGTATCAGGTACTTCTGCTTTGTTCTTTTTCTTTTTGAACTGTTTTTGACTACTTTTGGGGTTGCATTAGAATAATGCCTTCATTTTATCTTTTTGGACTGGCAATTAACTTATTCTTAACAGAGTATCAGGCTCTGCAGTTGTCTTCAACTGTAGTTCTTTATGTGAAATCTTTTTTTTTTTTTTTTTTTATTTCTTGCTTGTTCATATCATGCTGAATTCTTTTGTCAGTCAAGAAACTGATGTAAATACTCATCCAGTAATTTCCTTTTCTGCCCCTTGGGAGGGGAATGAAGAAAGAGAAGTGTATAGGATCTAACTGTTAAAAAATTAACTTGAGTAGTGCTGTGTCATTCAAGAACAGTGGTTACTCACAATAACTGATAATTCGATAGAACTAAATTTCATATAGGAAGATGAAGCTTTGTTAAGAAGCCTCAAAAGAGAAGGCAAGGACATTTTGCTCCAGTCAGTATTTTTTCAGCAGTTTTTGCTCAAGTCTTGACTCAAGTCACCTGTTGGATTCATGTAACTTCCCCGAGAAGTAATCCCTGGGATTTGTGAACTATTACTTTCCTTGTTAATGTTACGACTATTCAACTACATGAGTGTGGTCCTTATTTAATGTAATATTTCACATTTGTTTTTTTATTGAGCCTGAAATCTTTTTTTGGACAAAAATGGGAGTTAACTTTTTCATACTTGGAATTCTTCCTACCTAATAATGCAATTGCTTTAACTCATGTCACATTTTGTCAGAATGGCTTTTGATGTTAGCATCTTTGCCCCATATTTGTAGAGGGCATGGAAACAGCTGCAGGACTTAATTTAACTTCCAAGACTTTAGCTAGCCTAAAAGTAAGCACATCATGGTGATATATTTCTATTTTAGTTTTCACTCTGAAGATTGCTTTTAAGTTGCTCTTAGGATTGCTTCTTGTTTTCCAGTAAAATCTTGACTAAACTTTTTTTTTTATTTTTTTTTACTTCTATGCTGTGATTTTTTTTCTTGCTATTTAAAGAGCATTTTTAAAAAGAAGTAACATGGTCTATCGTTTGATCCACTGCAAATGCCTTTTTCTCACATTCCCGAAGCAAAAATCACCCTGAACTCTGTTCTATCAGTACTGAATGTGTTAGATGCAAGCTACAGGTGTTCGTACTCACTAATGCATATGCAAGTGTTTCCTTTGTAAAGGGGGGATAAAATGCAGTCGATAAATTACCTTATGAGAGTGTGGTGTTTTAGCAGAATGACTGTCCTTGTAAAACAGCGAGTGGAATGCCCTGATACTCTGCTTTCTTCTTTTTTAAGGGAAATAGTAATCCTTCTGCTTAAACAGAGAGGCCCATTTGCAGTCTGAATTTAAACATAACTGTAGGTAAAGTTAAGTTTAGCATGTCTCCATATCTGCTGGTTTTAGAAAGCACTGCTTACCCTCATCTTTCCTACTCCTCCCATCACTGAGCTGAAGAGCAACTTAGCCAAAAATCTGTTGCCGTATGTCTCCTTCTCTTCATCAGAACTGACACCATAGTGTGTAGGTGGTTTCCAAAATAAAAATGTCATCAGCTATCTCATTATTATAACCAGAACAATCAGGTATATTCCTGAGTGTACTGATGTATTTAGTCCCATTCATATTGACATGTACCTAAATGTACAAGATTTTATTTTTAAATTCTGTACTAAGATAACCTGTACAACGTCTTGTGAATCTGTGCAAATGTAGAATATCTTGCTCTTACAATTATAATTATTTGCAGAAACAAAAGAGCTAATATAATATATAGCCTTACATTTTTTTCTTTTTTAATAAACCACCCCTAACAATCAGAACTTACACTTTCTCTTTTTCTGTGCTTGATGCTTTGAGTGTGTTCACACATTTATGAGCAAACTTTTGCTTTGTATTTATATTTTACCTCATTGTTTTTTCTGTCTTCTTTTTAGTAGTACCAGTGATATGTTCTGTATTTTTCCTTTCTAAATACGAAACGACTTTATGAGGATTTGTCTATTACTGAATACTAGTAGTAGCAAATAAATGGACTCCAAAAATGGAGGACAGAAATCGCTTCTCTGGAGAATTATATTGGGTTCAAGGCGGTACATATAAAGGGATTATGATAAAACTTGAGAGGCCAGCAGTTTTGCAATTAATTTGATTCTGACCGGGGGGGAGGGGGTGTTTGTGTTCCCTCTCCAACATAACTTTTAATACTTTTAAGTTGCTACTTCTGTATTTCTTTGACAAATTATATGAAAATGTGCGGTTACATTATATATAGATGGATTTTTAATGTCCTGATTGAAAAGGGGATTTGTGCTAAGGATTTTAGAATGGTGGTTCTCAATTTTGGAGTTGATAAACTTGAACAGCTACTTGTTTGAGGTATTTGGTAATCAAAAGTGCTTAGTATCTTAAAATACATGTAAACTATTTTTTATATAGGTATTATATATTACGTGTTATTTGCCAAAAAATAGATTTGTGTTATAAGATAAAAGTAACTGGTCCTTGTCCTGACTGCAAAACTTTATTTCCACAGCAAAAATGAAACATATCAATCTATCATTTGCAGCTTGTGGGTTTCTGGGTATTTACCACTTGGGGGCAGCAGCTGCTCTTTACAGACATGGTAAGAAGTTACTGAAAGTTGTAAAAGATTATGCTGGAGCTTCTGCGGGATCCCTGGCTGCCACTGTCCTATTAACAGTACCAGACAATATAGAGGTAAATTAATAAACTCATAAGTATAGGACATGATCATTTTCAAAGAATATTTTAAAAATATACTCATCTACCATTAAATTGCTTAAATGTAAATATTTTGTTTCTTGCTTCTCATAAAGAAACAGGACTCATTTATGTGTTTTCATTAACAAAATCTATGAAGCATGGACAAAAATGTTTATGAAGTAAGAATTTATGACAAAAGTTGGTGCTCAGTTTATAGCAGAAAATTGTGTGGACTATGTATTTTAAGCTACGCAAATATAATGTGTCTAAATGCTGGGTTGTATGCAACCAGATATATTTCAGTTCTAGTATGACAAAATGTATCTGTATTTTATTTAATCATTGTGCATTCTTGGCTAGAGGCAGGCTTTGTTAAACAAATGTATTGCACCGTCCTTTGTGAGAGGAGATTAAAATGAGAGATGATTGTATTCTTAAAGTCAAAGCATCACACACGGGCTCTCATTTTCATAGGCTCCTTGCAGTTTGTGCTCCATTAGAGAGCTTTAGACAGCACCAGCTTTAGACTCAGGGCTAAATAGCAATAACAGCACTGTATGCCAAAGGAGGATTAACCCTCGCAAGCTATTGTTCTAGCATGTCACATACATGTTAGGCCTTTGATACAGTCCCACATGTCCTTGCTACTGACTTGGAGAGATATGTTAGATGGATGGACTGTTAGATAGATAAGGAATTGGATGTGGCTGTTAAGCCAAAGAGCTACAGTCCACAGTTCAGTGTCCATGTGGAAAACAGATACAAGAGGTGTCCCTAAAGGGTCTGTGCTAGGACCAATACCATTTAATGCCTTCATCAGTGACATAGATAGTGAGATTAATTGCACCCTCAGCAAGTTTGCACTTGACATCAAACTGAGTGGTGTGGCTGATACATGAAGGGTAACGGACAGCACCTAGAGAGTCCTTGACAGGCTTAATGAAGCCTATGCAAATCTCGTGAAGTTCAGAAAGGCCAGGTGCAACCTGTGTGGGGCAGAGGTGTACAGACCAGGGGATGGATTGATAGTGAGCAGCCCCACAGAGAAGGACCTGGGGATACTAGTGGATGAAAAAGTTGTCTTGAGATGGCTTTGTGCATGTGTAGCCCAGAAAGCCGATTGTATTCTGGGCCCACATTAAAAAAAAAAAAAAAAAAAAAAAAAAAAAAAAAAAAGGCATGGCTGGCAAGTCAACGGAGATGATTTTCCCCATCTGCACTCATGAGACTCTGTCTGGAGTACTGCATCCACTTCTGGGGTCCCCAGTATATGAGAGAGAAAGACCTGTTACAGTAGGTTCAGTGGAGGGCCACAAAAATAATCAGAGGGCTCAAACATCCCTCCTATGAAGAAAGGCTTAGAGAGCTGTTTTTTTTGTCTGGCTGGAGAAGTTCCGGGGAGACTTTATAGCAACCTTTCAATACATAAAGAAGGAAGGTGGAGAAAACTTTCACCAAGGCCTGTAGTGACAGAACGAGGGGTAGTAGTTTTTAGTCACTCTTTTCTCACCATGGATGTGGTGGTATAATGTAAAGACAGCGAAGTGATATTCGATGACTGTTCCGTAACGGGCTTTCTGTGAAAACATTACTTCTTATCCAGTTCTGTTACATTTGATTGTTTTTCCCCATAGCTTAAGGCTGCTTCACCCTCCTGATGTGCCTGTAGAAACTTTGCTTTGTAGAGGACTCTGCCTTGCTGAAATGTTAATATTTCTTTAATATTTTTCAATTATCAGAAACGGCATTATTGGAAGGGGTTGGACTGCTAGATAATTTATTTGTTTTGAGTACCCTTAGGTTTCAGTCTAGTGAACATCAGGTAACTTTCCGTGCCTCTCTGTAAAGACTTTAATGGCTTTTGATTCAGACAGTGGTGTCAGCTAAGACCACGTTTTGCCACTGAACTCTTATTTTATTTCTGCTATGACACAAATTTAGCTTGCAGAGTTAGCTATACTTCTGTTGCTTTCAACAGTAAGTTCCTCCTTGGCCTCTTCACCCTTGCCCCCTCAAGTGCATTCTTTATACGGTTTGATATTAGCCAAGTTCCACTCTGTTGTGAAGATAACATTATATATGTTCTATTCATATTTTTTTTCCTTTTCTGTAACCTTTGTTTAGTAGTTCAGTTTCAACTTCACATAGTATAATATTTACCTCTAACCCAGTTTTCCTATATGATAAGCACTGATTTCCTATATAATAAACAGCTAGCCTTTTAATACCCCAAGGAAATATTTCTACTTTATTCTAGGTTCTGGGCATGAAAATTTGTTCCCAGCCTGATATAAGTTACAAAGATATTTCTACGTAAATATATGAGAAGAATTTTTTGGTTTTTATGTTTGTTGAAATTGTCTATGTTACATTGAGCCTGATGGGTTTTACCTTGAAAATACCATTTTAACATAAACTTAAAAGTAATGTGTAAACTTTTTAGCCCTTTAATTTTCTTACTGACATTATAGTTATTCTATTATATTGTTTGAATGGAAAATTGAGAAATTGGTGGGTCAGAAATATTTCCTAATTCTTATGGCATTTAAGTAAGGGCAGTGTTGTGTGCTGAATAGAAAATACTTCATTTTAATATTATTTATTTTTATTGAAATTTCTACTAACTTTTCATATCAGTATAATATATTACTACATTTATTATATATTTCTAACTGTCAAAATACCTGATATTCACTACTGTAATTCTGACATCTATTAGGTTTTATTTATTTTCGGAGTGATGGCAGTGTTATACAAGTTGTAATTAGGACTTTTCTCCATTTCATGGTCTTAAAGCTCTAATGCAAAGTTTTATGAACTAGGAGGCAATGTAACACTGAGGATTTCTTGTTTTGACTCTTGCTGTTCTAACATGACAGCTTGTAAATGCATTTCTGATGTGTCTTAGGTTTCTGTCACTATTGAAAAGGCAAGAGACTTGAGAATTCTAGGGACAGATTTTCAAATGTATGAAGGCTTACAGCATTACAGAGAATTACCTATTCCTTTCAGAAGTACTTGATCATGTTAGATGTCAAGTTTGCTTAAATCAATACAGGTAGTTACCATTTCTAAACATGTTCTCAGTCACTATTTAAAATTTAGATGCACCGTTTAAAGTTTCTGGCACTAAAAATTGTAAATAATTCATAGCTGCAAGAAGTTGTCCCTTTTGACAGCAAGAATTGAGAGTATGATCATTTCTTAGCATTTGTAATATGGAAAGAAGTTCTGTCATTCATTTGGAGTTGTCCAGCTCCCTATTACTCTGACTTCCCTGTCACTTTAGTCACTTTATTAAGACATTTTAGATCTAAAGATAGTATTTCTGAGATGCTTTTATAATCTGTAGAGGTTTGTGGGTTTCTTCTGTCCTTGGTGAGTGAAGTTCTACCTAGAGTAAAAGTTCAAATTTAACCTATGTGTAATGAATTAGCATGAGTCTTTACAGGGATCGTTGCTTTAAGAGGTATAGAAGTCTTAATCCTGACTAGCATTTTTGATACGTTTGTTAGAAGGCCATACAGGAAAAGCAGATGCAAGAACCACATCTCTACCTTTCACTTAGGAAACTGCTCTATCACAGTTGTGCTGAAAGTCCAAATGATGTGAGGGAGTTAAACTGCCCCAGCCAGCTCGCTCCTCATCTTGTGCTGGCCCTCACCCCAACTCTTTTCCTGTTGCTTCTTCTATATACTCCCTCCTCATTCACCTGTCATCTTTTTGAATTTCACCAGTCATGTCAATCATTTACTTTGTTGCTATCAATATATTTGTTCTTCATGCAAGAAGCTAATAAGCCAAGAACCCCAAACTATTTTTAGACAGTGTTTACAGTCTTGTAAACATATATGCACAGTATGTTTATTGAGTAGCAGTTTCAAAAAGTTGGGTAAGATTGTATTTCAGGATTTTCCTAAATTCAGGGCTTAAGAGTCTTTTTTTGCTTAAAAAAAAATAAAATAAATAAATAAAAATTTTGTATTCTTTTACTTCTTTTAAAGTTTGTATAGATCACATTTCAAGCTATTTTTTCACAGTCATTAACACTAGGCATTTCAGCTCACGTAGAAAAATGTTCTCTGTCCCGTGGAATCTATAACCTGTTTTTCTTCAGTTGGTCTTTTGATCCTTTGTCTTCTATCAGCTGTAGTAAATGTAGTATTTCACTCGTAGGGAGGTGTTTGTTTTTTTTTTTGTGTGTGTGTGTGTGTGTGTGTGATGTTTGTTGCTTGTTTTCTTGTTATTTATGTTTACTGCTTCATTAAGAATTCTTATATATGGGTTCTTAGAAATTAATTCTTATGACAAGATCAACAATTTGTTATAGCTATCTTATTACAAACTGAGCACATACAGGAAAATATCTTAATATGGTGTTATATTGATTAAAGTCTTAGCTGTTAGTATGTTCTAGATACCACAGTTAAATTTACTTTCTATAATGAAAACTGTCCTTAATGGTGAATATTTTAATTTTCAGAAATGTGAACAGTTTACCTATGGATTTGCAGAGGAAATTAGAAAATTGGACTTCGGCGCAGTAACGCCTGGTTATGATTTTATGAAAAGACTTAGGTACTTAGTCTTAATGTATCTATTAAATCTATTTTTGTGAAGCTCTCAAAATAAAAATGGACGGTAAGCGTATTTTTTACGTGCTGTTGGATCTCAACTTTCTTTCTTTATCCCATAATATATTTGCAAGATCTTTAAATAATGATGGTGAATAATGTTTACCACTTTCTTTGTTCTAGGGAAGGCATAGAGTCTATTCTTCCTTCTAATGCTCATGAGATCGTTGAAAATCGTCTCTATGTATCAGTCACTAACGTGAGAAATGGGAGAAATTACTTGTTTTCAAGTTTTGCCTCCAGAGAGGACCTCATTAAGGTAATGAAGTTGCATGTAGTTGCTTTAAATAAAAATGCATGAGATTCTTCAATGCACAGGAGTATGGTATTAGGTATACAATAAATAACTGTTTTATTCAAATGCTCACTTAGGCTACAGTGGTGTGACAACAAGCAGGAATTTGATCCCAAAGTTTCAGAGATTTTGCTAAAATTTATTTATAATGTGTTTCCTTTCTTTGTTTTAGAAGTACTACCTTGTGCTAGTACCACTTGCACTACTTTAAAGCCTACTTTAAAAACAAACAAACAAAAAAAAGCAAACGGTAACTAATGATTAATTACCTAGAAGATTAGAATAAAATAGAGAATCTTCAAGTTTTCTAACAATTCTGTTCATCATTTTGCATCTCTTATTTCACTCATATCACTTACTATGCTCAATCACAAAAGAAAGTGAACAAAAAGAATTCCTGTGTTAAAAAAAAAACAAACTAAAAATAGCAGCAGTTTGTGGAGAATAGTCATATTGTCTTAAGCACCTTATAAACTCTATTTTAACTGTTGATGGAAAGCATATCTTTGCCCATCTAATGCCCATCTCTCTACTTTTGAATACCACTTTAAAAATCTGGATCATTATTGTAAACATAAGCTGATATAAAATGGTAGGAGGAATTCAGGTGCTTGTAAAGAAAATGTTCTAATAATTGGTTGCATTTTAGTAGAAGACACTAAGATATTGCAGAGTAAAGGAGAATATAGAATAAGCAGGAAGCTTTGAAGAGGAATTCCTTCTTTCCCTGTCCTTCTGGATGCTTAGAGAAATGGGTTTGAGGTACACCTTTTCTGATGGTTTTGTCATGGGAAGGTTGTCTGGTAGAAAAATAGCTAATGTTTCACTTTTGAAAAATAGAAGACAAAATCTTTCTGTGTAAGTTCAGACAAGTCTCTGGTGCTTTAGATCACTGGGAAGAGAAACAAGCAAGAAAAAGAGCTGTCAAAGTGAGAGTTAAAGGCTTCATATAGAGCCTTAATCCATATTTGTGGAGGAGAGGTTTTTAATACTGAAAGGTTGGGCATTTTTTCTGTAATCCCCATGGGTTGTGTTTTTGTTGTTTGCACCTGATTGCCTTTCACATTGTATATACCGCTGTCTGTAATGTTTTTCTGTTCCTAAGATCTGCTTCTCATACCCACACACAAGCACGTGGCATGCATATGGACCACATTTAGCTATATGAAAATTTCTGACACACAAACCTCAGCATTTTTGAGGTGTAGTATAGCAATTTTGTAGATTATAGATGGATGGTTGGATACATGTACGTATAAGTAGGTGCATGCCACACACACACACATGTTCATAGATCCTAAGTGGATCTATGATGGTGGTCAGAAAGTTATATGTGTATGCACATCTATACTTAACAGAAAAGGTGTCCTGGTCTTAAAAAAAAAATAATAAATTGAGAACTGCAGTAGACAACAATGTGGGCTTGAAGTAAAAATTTGTTAATACTGAAACATTAAATGTAAAGTATTAAACTCATGAAGGATGTACATATGTGAATTTTCAGGCTGTTTATAATATTCTGGAAATTTTGAATTACTTCCAAAATCTGATTTATTAGATTATTAAACACTGCATTTACATGCCAGAAGAATGATTGGACTGGCTTTTTTTTTGGTCAATAGCTCTGTACTGCTTTTTTTTTTTTATAATATACATATTTCCACAAAATCAAAGATTTACTTGATGTTGTGTGAGATTAAATTCATACTCTTGTATCATATTAATCAATAAGTCAATCAATTTCTGATAACTTTGCTTTGAAAGTTGTCCTTGTCATCATTAAACCTACTGAATTATTTTAATCACGTTTTAAGAAACCCTAGCAGCAAGACTTTTTAAGATGATAATGATTATATGTAAAACTAATGTATTTATTTGCTACTGCTGTATTTTTTAATAGAGGATAAATAAGTATGAAAATATTTACTGGTTCAGAATTATTTTGTTGCCTTATCTTCACTCTTCCCCTTCATTCCTTCTTTCTTTTCTCTAGGTCCTGCTAGCAAGTAGTTTTATACCGGTGTATGCAGGAATGAAGCCAGTGGAATATAAAGGAGAGGTAATGTTTCATTATGTTTGAGTTCTGTTTTTATTCATTTTCCTTTTATTTTATTTTATTTTTCTTCAAGAGCATCCTTCATTTATGGTATAATTGATTGTAAGGGAAGTTAGGTGGGGATTGCAGTACTGTATTTTGTAGAAGTTATTGTTTCTATGGACACTGGAGGTTAACACTGTGGAAGATGACAAGAATTTGTTCCTATATTGTTTCAAAAATGAGGAGTGCTGAGACTGAAGTGATGTCTTTAGTGTGGAGCTGTTCCCTAGATATAACGTTTAACATTTACGATGAGAAGCAGCCTCCCTTAGTAAAGATACTTTTTATGACTTGCTGTGTTGCCAACTCTAAAAGGACTGCAACTGAAAGAATAATCACTCTGCTTTCCTGTATAATGGAAGGAATGATAAGAGAGGTCTTGGCAGCTTGTACACTCCTGAAGCACCTGTGTCTACGTATGTGTTATAATTCTGTTGAGAACATGATAATGTGCCTCACCAAGCACTTTCAAAACTCTTAACTCTGAACAAACATTAAAATCCTTATATTTTCCCTATCGTGCAAGGCTATGAAATTTTGAAAGGCATACACTATTATAGGAAAACCTTTTAACCTTTTTCCTATAGCTTACTTAGCTCCAAGAACTCTTTTACATAAATATATAAACATTTTAAAATAATTTGATTTAGTCTGTAATCACTAGAAGCAGAAAAAAATGTTTTATTTCTAAAATACACTATACTTTTTCCTTTATTTTCTTCATTGTGGTGGTTTTACTCAGGTGGGTAGCAGAGTTCTACCACTGCTGCTCTCTCACTCCCCCTCCTCAAAGAGGAAGTGGGAGAAAGTACGACACAAAGATCTCAAGGTTTGAGTTAAGGATGATTTAATTAAAGGGAAAAGGGGTTGGGGGGACGAAAACAAAGGCCATGCAGAAGCACAGAAAGAGAGGGGGGGAAAAAAAAGTAAAGAAGTTACTCTCTACTTCCCATCAAGTGATGTTTGACCACGTACTGGTAAGCAATAATGTGTAATGGTTGTTCAGGTTGACAGAAGCTTCCACCATGAGAGGCCCCCCCACTCCTTCCCGTTTTCCACCTTTTATTGCCTGAGTGTGACACCAGAAGGTATGGAATATCCCTTTGGTTGGTTTAGGTCAGCTGCCCTGGTGATGTCCCCTCCCCATCAGTTGCCCACCCCTGGCCTTCTGGCCCTTGCAGGGCTTGGAGGTAATCCTGATGTGGTGCCAGTATTGTGCAGCAATAGACACAACATTGGAGTGATACCAGTGCTGTTCTTGCTACAGCACAGCACTGTATGGGCAGCTGCAGGGAAAGTTAACTCCATCCCAGACAGACCCAGTACACTCATATGCATCAAAATGATGTCTTCAGAGTATCTCTTCAGAGTATCTATCATCCCATGGGACCACCATGCAAAAAAATAAAAAAAAAATCACTGCTAAACCGTACCCATTTGTCCCTAGAAATTATTTCTATCTAGGGACTTTGAGTTCATTTTGAATGTCAGAAAGCTTTTCAGCTTTAGAATTACTTATACAGCAATGTATGCCTGACTGCTCGAGTTAAATGGAGACTTTGCATCTTGCCAGAGTCTAAAGATTTTGTTGATTGGAGTATTTGTATGTTGCTGAGACATGCATGGATGTTTGAGGTTCATTCTGCTACTACTTAAAGAGAAGGAAGTGTCTTTGTTAAACCTCTTATGTTGTTGTCAATTAACAAATTGAAAAGTTGGATCAGAGTTTTGTCCAAATTGATTTAAAACCCAGTTTTACTGGATGAGCACTGCTATTATGATTTGCCTGGGTTTTGTTGGATTTACTGAAACACCTTCAGCCTTTTCTTAGTGGACAGTTCTCATTCCTGCCTAGCTTTATTTTTTGCATTCAGAAGTTAAATCAATGAATATTTTAGGACAATTAGTTTTCTGTTATTTAAAAGCTGCTTGTCATTCTCAAAGCTTCTTACTACTCTCATTAAGTCAGATTCATCAAACGTAGTTTCTGGGAAATAGGTTGGTTTAATTTATTTTTATTTGTTTTAATGGATTAGTTATGCACATCTGCACTGACTTCTCATACAGTGCGTTTGTGTTTTGGGAATCCTATTTATCTGAGAAAACTGTTGCCTGTAAATGGAAGTGACTTCTAGTCCAAAACACTTTGAGCAGTATGAGAGCAAAAAACCTTAGAATCTTTATTCTATTTAGTGGATGATGATGCTGTGTGGGTAGGGGTCCTAGAGTGTGCAGTGTAGAGCCAGGTATGTGGAATGGAACCTTGTGATCCCAACATGGTAATCACTGACCTCTGTACAATGGATTGGATATTAACTAGCCCACCTATCATGTTTGCATCATATTCCATGTTTTCTGGAAGTTCTGCTGTAATGGATCAAAATTCTGACTGTCTGCATTTACACTAGTTTCATGGAGCAAATTCCCTAGATCATACAGTCCATGGCAGCATGGAATCAGGCTTGTGCCGTGACAGCTGCTTGTGTCGGCTAACTGTATGTGTGCTTCAGAACAGTTGGTCTGGATCATTGCTGGGCTACCTATGTCACCTGAATACATGAACAAGTTGTCTGAGAGTAATTTTTTTAAACATAGTATGTTTTCTGAGGTATGTATTGTGTGATGCGTAAGGGAGTATACTGATGCACTTCTGCTAGAAAACTATCAAAAAAAAGTCAAACTTATTATCCTGTACGTACTGCCTGTAGAGACTGAACCCTGGTGAGAATTGTTCCCAGCATTGCACTTCAGTGTTTTTTTGTTTTTGTTTTTTCAGGAAGTGTTTGGCTTATGCTAGAATAAGATGGCATATCTACACAAAGCATGCTAGGATACTAGACTTCTGGGATGAAATGGGTAAATTGCATGGTAGTGTAGCCATTGCAACAATCTGTTCATAGTGTGTTTTGGTTTGGTTTGATAGGCCTAAAAATAACAGGAAGGAAAAGGGTGTGTAATACAGAGAGAGCATCTGAGATCTTAAGTCTGTTAATGATCTTAACCACAGTGGGCTAGGTTTTTACCTGGATTGGGTATTTAAGATGCCCATGGACTACATTTCCAATAACCATAGAGAGGTCCTCTGCTCTGCATACTGTCTTTTGTTGAAACAAGCGTTTCCTCGAAGCAGTGGGAGTAATTTCTTGTACGATTCTACATGGACCAAGCTTACTCCAAGTGTCGTAACCTTTATTTGAGTTGGGTTGGTGTCTTCTGAACCTCTGGCAATGTTAATCTTTGAGCTAAATAAACATCTTCAGATGACTGAGTTGACTATTTTTCGTGATGAAGCTATAGTGTTGTCTTACAGAATGGTTTTGTAAAACCAATGTACTGGTAAAGAGGTAGATTACACTAGTGTTACAGAATTGATTTTACACAACTTCAATGTAGTAGTACATGTAATTAAGGATTTATTATATAATTTTATGGTAAAGAACAAAATTATACTGTATGATTTTTAACAGCACTTAGCATTTAAGTATCAGACAACTTAAAACAATGATTTTAGCAGAATTTGCTATAATAGAAAGAGACTTAGTTAAAGATTTGAAAATGGCAAGGTTCACACGAGAGACTACTACAGTGTATTAGGAGTTTCTAAACTCAGCCTCACACTTCTAGAATTCTCTCCTAAGGTGAATTACTCACCGTTCTTACTCATCCGTGTTTGTCCATAGACAAGCTTCATCCTCGAGGAGTCAGCCCTGAGATGCACTTTATCTCCAGTGTCCCAGCTCAGGGGGAGATTGAGCATGCAGCCTGCTGCTCATGGAGCAAGAACTCCAGTAGTTCTTGCTTGAGATCACTGTCTATAGTATCATGAGATAATTGACTTTTAGTCAGTGATTTTCCAGGATTCAGGTCTTTTTCACTTAGTTTATGATTCAAGTAGGGTCAGTGGAAAATCTGAACACTAACAGAATAGTGTTTCATGTTCCTTACTACAAACCTATTAGCTAAAAGTTACACAACCAACAAAATCAACATGGTATTTATGCAAATGAAAAAAAAAAAAGGGTAAAATTTCAGCTGTCCTTGGTTATGCTGGGATGGAATTTGACTGTAGCCTCCATAAAAATCAGTCTTGTACCTCTGGACTGTATTCAGAATCAAGAAATATGGGAGGATCTGCAAGAAATTAATTGGTTGCTTTTTTTTTTTTTTTTTTTTTTTCTTCCTTGTTCTCTCCTATACTCAACTCTTGTAGCAGACTTGATGTCTACTCCTTCTCATTTGGCATGGATATCTAGCTCCTTCCCACTTTTTTATTCTCTGCTTTCCAGCTACTGCTGTCTTTGTGGTGTGGTGCATGATAGTTTTTTTTGGATGTAAGGAAACAAGAAACTCTAGGAGACAGTAAGAGACGTTACATGTGTTTCAGCTCATGCAATCACTTTACCAGCATATATGTACACTGCTCCTGCTTCGCAAGACAGGAGTATACCTTACCTGAAATGGTTCATGTGTCATAGTAGTGATCTTTTTCTTACCTGTGGACATCAAATTTGTATTTTTAAACTCTGTGGGGCATTTTCTTAATAGATCAACTAAACAAGCTGCCTTAGCTTGATTAAAACTTTTAAGTGTCTGGAGAATTTATAAATACAGTTGCATGTTGTTGAACACTGTGTATGTACATTGTCAGTTCCTTGATTTTTATGCTGCTTATCCTCCAAGTTGCTTACTCATGGTATTCTGAGAAGAAAACTCTTTAATTTTCTTGGTTGTCAAAAGAAAGTCTTTCTTTAGAGACAGTGGTTGTAGAGGAGACTGGAACAGAAAGGATGAAGTATTTGATCGTTACCATACTGTACTAAAGCTACTTTGAAAATACTTTTTATTTTTCAGTAGAAGTGGGTTGATGGTGGCCTTACCAATGGCCTTCCTGTCTTGCCTGCTGGACGAACCGTGACAATTTCTCCTTTCAGCGGTCGATTAGATATCTGTCCACAAGATAAAGGACGTGTGGATCTCTATGTTAAACTTGCAAAACAAGATATAATGGTGAGTTGATGGTTTATTTAATAACTTCAGAAGAATAAAAGGTAGTTGAGTAGTTAAGCTCATGCTTATTTTTGATTGTTTGTTTTCTGTATATATGTTACCTTTATATAATATTTTTGGCATTTTCTGTTTTGACATGGAGTGTAAATATTCCCTTAAACACAAGGGAAAGAAAAACATAGAATAAATTTTGTCAGAAAGGTTGAAAGTGTATATATCTAGTACAAAATAGAGTAAGTATGTCAGAGGTTATTCAATTTAAATAATCTAGGCTTGCTTTACATATCATTTGTTTTCAGTTAGGCAGTGTTTACAGAGCAAAAAATAAAAATAAAAAAAACACCTTAAGACTTCCCTAAAATACCTCGGGAGAGGGAAACTAGCACATCCATTCACACATACTGAAATAAGCTGCTCTAACTGAATTTAAAATATGAGTTTTAAGTTGTACATTTGAAATGATATACACTTGACACTTCATTGCTCAGTAGAGCTTATGTTAAGATTTTGAACCTTGTAACTACTACACTTTTCCAGAATTTTTTTGATATTACAAAAATGTTCAGTGTTTAATGACTAAGGCTTAGACTGATTTTTATGACCTCCTTTTCATTGTTGACATTCCTGTCTCTGCAAGCTTTTTCTCACAGACTTTTATCACAGTATTGCATCCTTCGTCATGATGAAAGAAAATACTGAAGGCAGTAGGCTTATCATTGCTATCAAAAAAAACTTCATTAGAAAGAAAAAAGAATGGTTAGTAATAGTTGCTACACATCTTAAGTTTCACTTTGGCAGTTCTTAATATATTTTACTCAAATTCAGAAAACATAAGTTCTTTGGTGTCCTAAACTGTGACAATTTCTGAGTCTTTGTAGTGTTTCACAGAGATTTCAAGCATCATAGTACTTGGTAAATGATCATAAAGCATGAGAATACTTATTTTACTTATAATATATGCATAGTTTGTTTCTTGGTTGCGGCTTGTGTCTAGTATGTAATGCATCTAGAGGTAGAAAATGAGTTGATGAGTGGATTAATTTTGAGAATTAATTGCAGAGTTGCATTGCTGCTTGGATTCTCCAAGTGCAGACTTGTGTAAAATATTGAGCAACATTTAAAACTGTTATTTTTGAAGCACCCTTATGTTTTAGAGCTGTAAAAATGTGAACTAAGAAAAATTTTATTTCAATAATACCATAATCTATATAAAACAGAGTTGTCTATCTTTGTATCTGGATTGGAATGTGAACAGTGTTCTCTCTTCAAACATCTGCCATCTGTTAGTGTCAAAATGTGAATATTTTTTTCAAATGATGATTATTTTGGTACTGTGTTGCAATATTTATATGGATAAAGTATATGGCTAAAGTAGATACTAAATTATTCGTATAAATGAAGTATTTAAATCTTTATTAAATCTGTTTGTAATTTTCTTGTAAACAACTTAATAATGTTTTTATTTAAAAACAAAGTTCTAAAATCTTAGTAGTGTACCAGGAAGGTCAACAAAGTGACCCTTTATGATGCTAAGTAATTTTTACTTTGTTGGAAGTAAAAGCTGCATTTGTATTCATACGTAAAATGTTGACTGGGAATGTTTTTGCCAGGCTGGATGGGGCTTTGAGTAACGTGGTCTAGTGGGATTTGTCCATTCCCATGGCAGGGGAGTTGGAACTGGATAGTCTTTAAGGACCCCTTCAACCCAAGCCATTCTGTGATTCTATTATCACAGCAACAAGACCAGTTGCTCTCTGGATACCCAGTACCCTGAGGTGGTAGAAGGGGATGGGGAGCAGAATGTGGCCCTCATAATCCACAAGGAAATGGTTGGTGACCTGCTACAGCACTTAGATGCACGCAAGTTGATGGGGCCAAATGGGATCCACCCAAGGGTACTGAGCGAGCTGGCAGAGGAGCTGGCCAAGCTGTTTTCCATCATTTATCAGCAGTCATGGCTATCATGGGAGGTCCCAGTAGGCTGGCGGCTAGCAAATGTGACGCCCATTTACAAGGGCCTGAGGGTAGACCTGGGGAACTATAGGCCTGTCAGTTTGACCTCAGTGCCAGGGAAGCTTACAGAGCAGATTATCTTGAGTGTCATCACGTGGCACTTGCAGGGCAAGCAGGCGATCAGGGCCAGTCAGCATGGGTTTATGAAAGGCAGGTCCTGCTTGTCGAACCTGATCTCCTTCTATGACAAAGTGACGCACTTGGTGGATGAGGGAAAGGCTGTGGATGTTGTCTCCCTTGACTTCAGTAAGGCTTTTGACACCGTTTCCCACAGCATTCTCCTCAAGAAACTGGCTGCTCTTGTCTTGGACTGATGTATGCTTCATTGGGTTAAAAACTGGCTGGGTAGCTGGGCCCGAAGAGTCGTGGTGAATGGAGTCAAATCCAGTCAGAGGCTGGTCACCAGTGGCGTCCCCCAGGGTTCGTACTGGGGCCAGTCCTCTGTAATATCTTCATCAATGATCTGGATGAGGGGATCGAGTGCACCCTCAGTAAGTTCACAGATGACACCAAGTTAGGTGCGTGTGTCGATCTGCTCGAGGGTAGGAAGGCTCTGCAGGAGGATCTGGATAGGCTGGTCTGATGGGCTGAGGCCAAATGTATGAAGTTTAACAAGGCCAAGTGCCGGGTCCTGCACCTGGGGCACAATAACACCAAACAGAGCTACAGGCTGGGAGATGAGTGGTTGGAAAGCTGCCTGGCAGAGAAGGACCTGGGAGTATTAGAGAAGGACCTGGGAGTATTGGTTGATAGTCTGCTGAATACGAGCCAGCAGTGTGCTCAGGTGGCCAAGAAGGCCAACAGCATCCTGGCTTATATAAGAAGCAGTGTGGCCAGCAGGTCTAGGGAAGTGATTGTCCCCCTGTACTCAGCTCTGGTGAGGCCGCAGCTCGAGTACTGTGTTCAGTTTTGGGCCCCTCACTACAAGAAGGACATTGAGGTGCTCGAGTGAGTCCAGAGAAGGGTGACGAAGCTGGTGAGGGGTCTGGAGAACAAGTCCTATGAGGAGCAGCTGAGGGAGCTAAGATTGTTCGGCCTGGAGAAGAGGAGGCTCAGGGGTGACCTTATCACTCTCTACAGATACCTTGAAGGAGGCTGTAGAGAGGTGGGGATTGGTCTGTTGTCCCACATGCCTGGTGACAGTGTGAGGGGGAATGGGCTAAAGTTGCACCAGGGGAGTTTTAGGTTGAAAATTAGTAGGAACTTCTTTACCGAAAGGGTTGTTGGGCATTGGGATGGACTGCCCAGGGAAGTGATTGAGTCACCATCCCTGGAAGTCTTTAAAAGACGTTTAGAAGTAGAGCTTAGTAATATGGTTTAGTGGAGGACTTGTTAGTGTTAGTTCAGAGGTTTGACTAGGTAATCTTGGAGGTCTCTTCTAACCTAGATGATTCTGTGGGTTGTAAAGGACCTTGAAGATCATCATTTTCAATCCCCCTGCTCTGGGCAGGGTTGCCAACCACTAGGGCAGGCTGCAAGAGCCTCATCCAGCCTGGCCTTGAACTGCCTCCAGGGATGGGGAATCCACAACCTCTCTGGGTAACCTGTTCCGGTGCCTCACGACCCTCTATTATGCTATATTCTGAAGAATGTGATTGTTCGCACTAGGAAGTGGTCAAAATACTTACTTAAGCAAGTTTAGCTTGTGTCACCTACTACTACTCCAGACAGTTCCTGGAATGCTTCCATACTTAAAACATTTCAGAAACTCTGGGCAGTTTTACAGTAGCTTGTCTTAGAGGCTGTGAATTATGTTGGTTTTCAGCAATGTACCTGAACATGTGTGATTTACTAGTATGGACATAGCCATGCTGGTGTTTTGTTTTTACATATGCTACATGAAACAGATAACAGAACAGATAACAACACAGTCAAGCCTAACATAAGTTGCTTTGATATGTTAATTTCTAGCACTTCTCTCTGTTGCAGCTGTCTCTGGCCAACCTAGTAAGACTTAATCAAGCTATGTTCCCACCAAACCAAGAGAAAATGGAATCACTGTACCAAAATGGATTTGATGATGCTGTTCATTTTTTACTAAAAGAAAACTGGTTTGAATAGATAGTACATAGAAAATAAACAAAACCTGATGGCTGTTGAAGCACAGCTATAGGTATCCTTACCTATCCTAGATTGCTGTCACAATTTCTGTTAATCCAAATAAAAATCTCAGCTGGAATTGCTTCAGCTTCTGCCAAGAAAGTATCAATTCCATCCTGAAGAACTGTATAAACATGTCAGAATGGGAACTGTACTTGCCTGGTAATTGTTTTGTTTGAGGTAACTCAGATTTAGATCCATTTTGCTGCAGCACTGGACTTTAACTTGGTGAGCTTGTGTTACCGTAATTAAAGAAATTTGGAAGTTGTAGCTGATGTTACTTGAGAGACTCATCATGGTTGTATCATGAAAAATTACAGTCTGTATTCTTCAGTTAGTATAATTGTTGTGCATGCTCATCAGGTGTTTATAATGTTGCTAGTCTAATGTATATTCTACAGTGTTCTAAGGATTTGAACTCAGCACTAGCCACAAGAAATAAAACATTTTCACTTTTACTTCTATACGAGTATTTTTTAAATAATAAAAGCTCTTGCTCTTTTCAGTGAATGCAGTCTCTAAATTTAAAAACACTATTTAAAATTTTTAACAGAAGTGTGATGTTTGTGATATTTTAATACCTTGTGCATAGGAATACTTATTTTATTATGTTTTCTTCCTTTGCTAAAATATGAAAAATGGGGAACAAAATATGAATAAATATATTTTCTTGAAACTTTTGTTGAGCTCATTTATTAATTTCTCAGAATGCTATAACAATCTGATTGTCTACAGAAAATAGTCAGTTGGAAATAAGTTCAAGTCAGCCAGCAGGTAATGAACCCACTAATATCTTGTTGTTACTATTCCCCTTGTATTGATTTTTTTTAAGTGCGAGTTCAAAATTTTCAGTCTTAATGCCTAAAATCCACAGCTGTTTAAAATCA